AAGGAACTCCAGTATTCGAATGCTGGAAAGGGGGTGGGATTTTTGTGTTTTCTTGTTTTGTTTTCTGTAGATAAGGCATCACAGAAAGTCATGGAACAGAAAAGGGGGATCCTGGAGGAGCAGGGCACAGGAAGGGGAGGCAGATCTAAGTCTAACCCCACCACAGGGGATCCTAGAGTTACTCCTGGGAAGGAAGAGCCTACACGTCCTCTATCCAGTTCACCCCGTGATTTTAGGTGGGAAAGTGAGGCTCAGAGAGGAGCAAGTGGTTGCTTAGAGTCACAGACATCAGCAAGGTGCAGGAGACATGGAGAAGACAGCAAGAAGGAGTGAGAAGACCTCAGACCATGAGAGAGACTCAGAGCCCCACTGCCACCACAGCTGGGTCCCAGTGCCCAGCCGCCACCGTGTGGACTGTATGCTCGTGGACCAGTCCCAGTGTGAGTCCACATCCCCTCAGGGTGGAGGCCCAGAAACAGGGGGACAAATGGCCCTCAGAGGCCCCTCCTACCTTTGGGCCAGTTACACAGAGGTCACTGGAAAGAGGCAGATGTTCCCCAGCCAAGAGTGGACCCAGTGTGGTAAGTGGGCAAGTGAAGACCTGGGGCTGGAGTGGAACTATGGGCAAGTTTTCATTTCTTTCTTTTTCTTTTTGGCTTATCTGTATATTCTTATATTTCTGTAACAAATGGGGATTATTTCTACAAGAAAGAAATTAAATACCAAGCCCAGCCTCCCACACTATCCTGGTTATACCCACAAATCAATGCTTATTGTAAGAAGCCTAATATGTTGAACCTGACCACACTGCTATCCAGAGCTTGCCCTGAACTCAGCTTTTTTACCTCTACTATTAGCCTTCACCCATTCTACTTATCTGAAGTGAATTAGTCACTATTCTCTTTTCTGACACCTTTTCATCCTCCAATGGAATTCTTCCATCTTGTCCCTTTACCGAAATCCTCACCATTGCCTTTATCATTATGTCTTTCCTCATTTGTCCTCCTGGAAGCAAAATTTTTTGTCTGTGTTGCCAACATGTTTTGTGTTCAATGGTCATATGTTAATTGTTGCTCATAATACCTATTTGTGTATATAACAAGAGGAAAAATTTGTCACCTTTAGCTAATTTATAAAGCATTTTCATATCCACCAATCTTCTTTTATGCTCACAAGATTAGGGGGAAAGAGAATCAATATTTACTTAATGGCAACTGTGTGTCAGACAGTGTGTTTGAGGTTTTATGTGTATCATTTCGCTTAACCCTCACAGCAGTTTCATAGGTCTGTTTTACATATGAAAACATAGGCTCACAAGTTCATTGACTTACTGGGGTCTTACTGGCAAAAAGCATGGCTGAGGATTGTGTGTGTGTGTGTGTGTGTTTTAATATTTTGGTCTTGTTCTTTCTATTACAAAAACATAACTGTACATCTACCAATGTTGGAGACACCAATAAGTACAGATAAAACTCCACTCATGTTTTCTAGCACACCAGAATTGCTGTATTCAGTCAATACTTGGTAGCCAACTAAAGTCAGAGGATTTTAGAGCTAGGAGAGACCTGATAGATCATCTGAGCCAACCCCTGTATGTTATAGATGAGAAATACGATCTTCAGAGAAATAAAATTTCCTGTGTATACATGTGCCTAGTTAGTAGAGGAGCCAGGATTAAAACCCAACTGGAGGCAGTATAGTAAAGTGGTGAATACTATGGCCTTTAGAGTCAGCATTGTTCCAAATCACAGGTCTGATACGTCAAGATTGTGTATAACCTATAATGATTTACAGATCTTTGTTTCAGTTATTTAAGCTGTAGGAGGAGGATAATAAAACCCTATAGTGCTGTGAGGATTCAATGTAACACTGAATAGCAGAAAGTAAGCAACATTAATATTAGGTATTCTCTTATAGCCTATCTCACTGTCCAATCTTCTTTACAGGATACCACCATTGCCTTTTTTAGATGACTGACATGGACATATTTCGAGGGCAAAGTGAGTAACAATAAATATGCATTTATTTATGCGGTAAGTCCCTTTTAAAAAACACACTTAAAGATAAAAACAAGAACAGCACATTTGAAAATGGAATTGTTCATTCAATAAGTGTTTATTGAACACCAACTTACTATATGTCGGGCACAGTACTAGATGCTGGGTGAGAGATAATGAAAAAACTGATTATCTCAACCTTAATAAGCACTGAAATGTGGTTAAAAACAAAGAATCACTGCCCTGGCCAGGTAGCTCAGTTGGTTAGAGCATGGTCCTGATATGCCAAGGTTGCAGGTTCAATCCCTGGTCAGGACATTAAGAAGCAACCAATAAATGCATAAATAAAGTGGAACAAGTTGATGTTTTTCTTTTTCACTCTCTCTTCTTTGTGTCTCTTTAAAATCAATTAAAAAAACATCACTGAGATCTACCTATGGGGCATGCAAAGCAAATATCTTTCATATAGTTAATACAATATAATAAAGTACACATCACAATGAGACTATACACACACACACACACACACACACTCACATACTGAGTGGCTAGATTATTATGACCACGTGACATTTGTAGGCAAATTAGCTATAATTTCGCACTGAAGTTGCTAGAGGGCCAGACCATTATAAATAGGGAAGCACGTTGTTTACCACGACAGAAGTGACTTTTTTCTGAAGATATGGGTAAACAATGCAATTAAACAGCCTTTGAACGTGGGAGATGTGTGTGTGTGTGTGTGTGTGTGTGTGTATATATATATATAGAGAGAGAGAGAGAGAGAGAGAGAGAGAGAGTATGAAGGAAGTAAGAGCATCTTTAGAATTAAGTTCTGTTACTTCCAGTATTGGTCATTTCAACTATATTTTAGTGAATTCCCTGACAATTAGGTTATTTCTATTTCTCTACATTAAATAGAATATTGGAATGGGTATGTTTAATTAAGCATATTCCCTTAAAATATGTGATAATCACCATCTGTCTGAAGGTTATATGAGCAGGAGAGAACAGTTTTGCTAATAACCACCAAATAGCAGTTCTTGACAGGGCAGTACAAAGTTTAATTTCATGAATTTGTGATCATTCTCTTTCTCCATATACACACATGTATAAGTATATATGTATGTAAATATGTATAAAAAGCTGCTTAAAGAGATAGCTGGTACTCTGGACGTAGAATCACGAATATACTGATAATCTCTTAGATTGCTTATATTTGTTTGAATTAGGATAATAAAACCGGCCAAGGATCAACACAGAAATCAGATTATTCATATAATCTGATTAGTCATACCCTATGTTAATTCCTAAAATCCCTAAAACATTCCTTAATCCTTAAAACATTAACATAAAAAATTAACTTCTTAATTCCTTAGCACAAGAATTTGATATACTATCTATCCAATTTTACCTGAGAGTGAAAATGATTCTGTTATTATTATGAGAGGAAGTAGAGAGCACAGTAAAAGAGCCCAAGTGGTAAGTCGGGTAGTCTGGGTTCAAACGTCAATTGCCATTTAATTGTATAATTTGTGGGAATGTCTTTGAGTCTCAGTAACACATCTTTGAGTTTCAATATAAAATGTTTTGCAAAATAGGGATAATATGATTTTTTTTTGTAGGACTGTAGCAAGTTTAAATAAAATAATGAAAGTATGTTGTCTGGCAGACAATAGCTGTTTGTGGTTAGTATTAGTGATTGGCTATATTAATTTGACAGGAGATACTACAAATCAAGAGTAATGATTTACAAAATCACTGCCTGTCTAAACACATGTTGCTATATGGAAACATGTAACATCCATTAAATTATTACAATCCTTTCAACGGGAAACATAAAGGGGAAATACAAGATTTGATAAAAAATGGCAAAACTGAGATGAAAGGAGATTCTAAGAATTTGGTGAACTAGTATTAAGATTAGAAGGTCCATTTGCTGTTTGAAACATGGTGCATGGCTTTCAAAAAGTAACAAGGCACTTGCTGATGCATCAGAGGCCTTCGAGTGAACATATTTATTGCATTTTTCTTTATGGTAAAGTTATCCCTGGAACTCGTTTTGTAATTGGCTGTTTTGGGAAAAAAAAAAATCAGCTGGCTTTTCTGGAGGAAAAAAAAGTGATTTAAATATACGGTGGTGAGTGAAAACTGCTTACCTCAGGAAACTGCATTACTCAAGAAAGACAAGAGTCGCCGAGGTTTGCTACATCATGGTTTGTTTTAAATCGTCGGCTGAATGAGAGCACCTTGCCTCTTTACAACTTTTCTGGCTACCCAGGACCTCCATCTAAAATTCTCCTGAATCCTTCAAGATTGAGGAAGCCTGGAGCGGTGAGCCAGGACACCTTCCAAGAAAGTGCACCTGTTTCCTGATCACTGGTGTTTCCAAAAAGTAAAGCATGCATTTAAAAGCCCACGGTTTACATTTTAAGCTTGTTCTCTACCTCATGAGCTCATAGCAGCCAGGAAAATAAAGACCATTCTCACCTAATTCAAAACAGCTGCGAGGATGTTGAATTCTAGATCAGGCACGACCCTCACACCCCACTTACAAAATGTTTGTAAAAGGTGTCCAAGACTGCCTGCTTTTCAGACACTGCAACCCAGGGCAACGGAAACGGTATTCAGGAAAAGTATCGTAAAAATCAGCTCTGGAGAAACGCTGCCAACAACGGGAGAGTAAGAACACTTTGATTATTAGTAGAGACACTCGGCAGTAAACCGAGTTGCGGTACACGGGGTCGTCACCCTTGCTGAGGGACTTTTGGAGGCGGGAGGTCAATTTCCAACTTGGGGCTGGATACTGCAAGTGGGGAAGCGGGTAAGCCGCGCTCCCAGGGCCTTCTCTAGCAGTACTGAGGGCTAAGCACCACAGCGATGGATGGATGGATGGGGACTCTTGGTGCAAGCCTCGCCCGCTCGCTCCTGGGTCCAGCCAAGATGCTGTACGGCGCCCTGACCGGAAATACCAGGCCCAGGAGGCAACGCGTAAAAATCACTTACCAGTATCCCACCTCCAGCGCGGATCTAGCAGGAGCCAGGCCAGCCCACCTGACAACGGCTGGACGGCGTCACTGACAACCAACCGGAAGTGATCCAATAGCTTCCGGGACCACGGAGCGCGCGGCGGGAAATTATTTCCCAGAGCCCGGATTAGCGGAGCAGCCAGTGCTGCGGCGGCAGTCGGCAGTCTTCTCCCCTGCTACCGCCTGAAGGAAGCCAGACACTCCGGCCTGGAAGGTAAAGGGCCTCCACTCGGAAGATACAGTGTACCCTGACTCCGTGGGGATGCTTCCTCTGTGCCCCCGAAGTTTCTGCCGTTCCCAGTTGAGACGCTAGGAAGGGGCGGGGGTGCGCGGCGCCTAGGCTCCCGCGTGGGTGCGCGGTTATGGATCAGACCCTGCTTCTCACTTCAGGCCTCTCTCCCGGCCTCTCTGCTGTGCGGGGGGCCGAGCGTTTTCCCCGCCCCCCGTTTGCGCCGCTCAGCCGCTCGGTCTCCCCTGACCTGGGCGCTAGGCCACCAGCGTCTCTCGTTTCCATAGAACCGACTGGGACGCTTCTCCCAGAGCCCCAGCTTCTTGGCCGCTTTCTGTATTTTCACGTCACAGCAGGTGGCGGGGATCTCCCAGGCCCACCTCCCTGTGACGGGGGAAATGGTGTCATTCTTTTCTTCCTAGGAGAATTTTTAAACATGTTCAAACGGTAGTGCAGCAACTACGATACGTCTGTAACGATCACACACACACAGGCACAGGCACACGCGCATTTCCCTGAAGGTGGGGAGGGTCCGTGTTCCTGTGGATTATAATATTTTAGCGACCTAAAAGGCTGGGAACAAGACTTAACGGTAATTCTGGGGTTTCTTCCACTCCCAAAGCCTCTGATTAAATAGTGGCAAAAAAAAAAAAAAAAAGCTGGCCTGTCGCAGGTACTCCGTATCAGAATTGGACCCAGAAATTAGATGGAGCTTGATGTTGGAAGCTCTTTATTTTTAAACAAATGACTATCCTGTATTAACAAAATAAAAAGAAAATTTTACCATGGAAACCGTAGGAATTAAAATTAAAGCAGTACTTAAGTGTGCGAATGACGACGCACTTGCACCTAGTGAACTTTTTCGTTTCTTAGTACGTTATGCCTCAGTTACTAGAAGTATCTTTTGATAGGCAAGATGTTCCCATTTTAGAAAAAGTTTAACCTGTATTGCAGTTTTCAGTACAGAATTGAGAGTTTGGGGTAGGCTTTTATAAGGGGAATTTGATCGTGTCTTCTAAGTTAACCCAAAGGTTAATATACATTGTAAATGTATACTTGAATGTATAAATTTTTCAACTACTCGAATGTATAAATTTCTATTGTAAAGCCAGTCTTCAATAATGCAAATAAGCCCCTGTTAGAGCTGTTCTCTAAATCCACAGTTTCCCTTGCCTTATGTACTTAAGTTCATTTATATGTTTGAATATTTTCCTGCTTCCCTAAAGCAAAAAACATACATCATGTGGAAGTCTTTGAAAAGGTGGTCAAATGTGGGTACTTTTCATAATCAAAATTCAAAACTGAAGATTTCATAATAGTTATCCACAGTTTTCACTAATGTCTAAAAACATTAGGTTTTAGAAAAGCAAATATATGGCTTCATTAATTAGACAGTATTTTCTTGATTATTCTAAGATAGTCTTTTCACTATTTAAAGAAAAAAAAATTAAAAATAAAATCAACAATTCCATCTTCCGAATAATAAAAGCTAAAGATAGTGAAGAATCATATTTTTCAAAAATATAACTAAAATGGAATATTTACTATTGTGATTGACTCTCCTTAAATGTGCTATAAAATACACTATATACTGTTTCTTACCTTTGAAGGACATCTTGCTGCTTAAAAGTAAAAATATCCCTAAAACTTTTAGGTTCGCATAGTTTTTACTTTATATCAAAATTATTTAAAATAACAGTACACTTTTTCAAAGTTAGCAATTGTACTTTATCATTGAGTAATAGTTAAAAAAATTTTTTTTACGAACAGAAAAGCCCATATGAATTAGTCTAGTGATTAATATCAAATCTATTTTGAGAGAGAAATAATGAAAACTTTCTTTTTTATTAAAACATGGCACTCTTGACTTTCTAGAAATGCTTTGAAATTTTAGATATTAGTGTTATTTTTCTGAAATTATAATATAAATATTTTCAGTGATATTATCTAAATGTCTCCCCACCCTCATAGTAGATTCCTTTTCATGCAATGTATTTTTCTCTTGCACTAACTGAAAATAGATTGCTTTGTAAAATTATATTGTGGTTAAAAGTATTAGACAAAATTCTGATAATTAGTGATGTTGCAGAAAGGCATACAGTCTTTTGCAGAAACAGATGTAGGCTTTTGAATCTTGTTTTCACCATTGACTAGCTGTGTAGCCTTGAGCTAGTTTCTTAATGTCTCAGGTTCTCCAATATCCTTAATTTGTATGTGAAGGGTAAACAGCACTTGCATTGTTGAGAAGGAAATGAACTGAAATATATGAAGTGCCTAGATCACAGCTCAATTGAAATCCAGCTTGTTCAACCTTAGATCTTACGCTCCTACTAAGTAATACAAAGTTCTTAGGATACTGAAGCAGGTGTGACTTTCACTCCCCTGCCCCCATGACTAACCAGTATCTACTGTCCATTCATTATTTTTGCCCTGTCATACCTCTTGTTTTCCTTAAGGGCCCCTTTATCCCTAAAGCTAGCATCTCCAGTCCTGTCTGTTCCTTGTACAGTACTGGATATATCTCCATAAATCCTCTTAGCTGCTTATTTCTTCCTCACTACAGTTACTGTGCTGCTGCTTCTCCACTTCCTTCCTCTACTGTCAAATATACCATCTAAGAGCCTGGTCGTGACTGTTTCTTTACTAAATAATGTCATTGAAGTTAGAACATCCCACAAGTCTTGCCACTGGAGACCTTAGTAAAATAAATTTATATTTGTATATTCTAGTACACACACACATCCCATACCTTTGAAGGATGTGGCAGGAAACAGACGCTACATCTTTAAAAAAAATAATAAAGAAAATCCAAAGGCCACCAGAATGTAATTCAGCCAAAGCCAAAAGAATACAAAATTCCTAAACTCCACGTGATGTTATAGCATTCAGAGCCAAATAGTATTTGACTCATACAGTGTGAGTATTGGGATTTATGTCTACCTTTTGCAATATTGGTTAAAACAAAGATCCAACACTTTACTGACCCTATTTAATTTTAGAACTTTTTTTACTTTTCCAGCTAAATTTCTTAGGTAACAGAAGTCATGAAAATCTTCCAAACTTGAATTCAAAGTAACAATATTGGTTGTATACCTAGAGGGGAGTATAAAAGTTATTTTCCTTAGGTTTTAAAATAAAAAATAAAAATAGGTTTAAAATTAAAGTAGTTCACTTGAATAACAAACATTAAGAAACTACTGGTTTACCCTAAAACATTAGAGCCTTAAAACCGTGAAGAATATTCTGTGGCATGGAAAAAGTGATCACAATATAATTTTATATAAGAAGGTACAGAACTGTATAATATTTAATTTTCATGATATATATCTTTTCATACACAAGTCAAATCCTTTCCTTTTCCCCATATATTAACAGTGGTATTACAGGGTGAAGGATTTAGAAGTGATTTTAAACTTTCTATATACTTTGTAGTATTTTTCAAATTTTCTTTAATAAGCATGTGTTAATTAAAAGACAAATCAGTAAAACTTATTTTGAGGAAAAATTTTAGTTCTTAAATGCAAATTTATAAATTAAACTTTTAAAAAATCCCTTAGTTCTCTTAATAGCATACAACTAATAATATACATTATATTCTCAAAGCTGTATGATACACCATGGCTGCTCATAAAATAAATTATAATGCCGATTAGGAAAAGTTTCTCCTTATTTTTCTACCATAGACCTCTTGAAAGCATCTCTCTAGCCCTTCTCTCTTTTTTTTGTAACATTTTCCTCTTTAACCCAACTGTTGCATCCCGCACTTTCATCTCCCTCCTGGACCATATCTTTATATTCACATCTGTATTCCTACCGCTACTTTTCTCCGTGTTCACTTTTCAACATTTTATGGCTATGTGTCATATTTTTAAAGTGTGTTCTAGCTATGTGTCATAAAGAATTATAGGACCTAAAAGCTAGTGCATAATGTTCTTAATTACGATGAGTGCTATAGGTTTATTTGCATTTCTGACTGGCACCAACTGCAAAGGAATTTCAGGCATCAGGGATAGGCCCATGTGGGAGATATTTTGGGAAAGTCCATACCACAGAGACAGTTGCTTGCTCTGCATAAATGCCAGCTCTGCTCTCAATCATTATCTCCTTAGTTTGTGTATTAAATGGTTCAAGGTAAGTGACCAGATTTTTAAAATTACTATAATATTTTACAAAATTACTACAGAGCATTTTCTTTAAGAATCTAGTATATAATTTTTATTTTTTGACAGTAAGAATAACATTTAATTGTTAAGTAAGTGCTCATTTTGGTTTTTCCCTTTTACTGTGTAATCTCGAAGGACCACCTCCTGTAAGTTCTAGAAAAGTATATAATTTCCCCAGAAATGCCACTGATACAATTGCATTGCAGTATATTTATTTTCTTTCTTGTGTTGGAAGTCTTCTAGAAGTTAGCTCTTGATCCTCCAGACCCCATAACACATCTTCTACAAAAAACTTGACCCTACTTTTAAGATCTTGGAATTATTTGGGTCATTGATAGTTATTACATTAGTTTTGTATAGTGCTCTCTTTGGGTTTATTACATAATAGATTAGACTATTGTTTATTATTTTCTTAATCCTTCAGGGTCATAGGAAGAACCACTAAACCACTAATTTTATAAATACAAAAATATGTCCATATATTTATATATGTCTATGTCTAATATATATAGATAACAATTTTCTCATGAAACCGTATGATTAGATCTATGACCTAGGTCCTAGGCTATTAGTTTGTCATGTGATATGATATTAAGCTGAATATATGGTAAATGCTTTTGCTTCAAATAGATCATTTTATTATAGGAAGCTATTAG